AGTTTCTAATATTTTCTTAGTGTGCTGTGTAGGAACCTCTAAAAGTTGCCTTTTTAGGAAAACGTAAAATATCCATAGGCTTATGTAATTGCAGTTCATTGTGCCATTCATTTGCCAACATGCTACACTCTTACCAGTAGATGGGACATGAATGGTTTTAAATCGCGCACATTATTTGGGATCTTAAAATGCACGACTTCTGTGATTGACCTTCATCGCAGCATCGGATTTGACGTTAGAAATTCTTGAAGCAGTTCCTTGTTTTTTTAGTTCTCTCCGGCAGACCGCCAATGGGGAGAACAGGCACCTCCACTGAAATATTTTGGTGCTCTTGCACTACCCCAGGCATTGTCTTCCCATGGCACTTTATGACACGCCATGCAACGTGAAACACGCATCATCGCTTGTCACACATGGAACACACACAGTGTCAATGTTAAAATACGGATCTTAAAGACCTAACTGTTATGGAGCAGAGTCTTCATTCAAAACTCTATATAATTACTCAGCTTCTGAAGAGATGCCATTCTTTCATGGAACGCGGAGGTTCATTGACATTTTATGGAATCAGAAGGGTCATTAACATGTTAACAAAAATACGCCACCAGACGCTGTCCAGAACGAGTTCAGTCTGTGTCGATGGTTTGTCTTCTGGGTAGTAATGTCGTGTGAATGGACGGATTAAACTTGTAGGTAGGTGCCAGCGTTTTGAAAGAACATACTGTCTCCATCTACCTTCAAGTTAACACAGTTTCATAAACTAGAAGATAAAAATGTAATCTTCAAAGCCGCGAGAACCTCAAATCCCTTGCATTTCGCTCTAATTCATATCAACACACACTGTTTGTTTAAACCTGTTTTAATATTAGCTTCATCGACATTAGATCTCCCGAGTGGCCTCTTCCGTTATGGTACCTAGACTAAAATTACATGTTTATTTTTGATTTTCATTATGAATTCTACGTATTTGATGTACGAAGTTTTTCATCATGTGCGTTAAATCCTTTTGATATTTGATGTTTAAAATATTGCCCAGTGCAGAATCAAACCCCATAGAGTGAGGACACTAAAATAATCCAGTTGTCATTATCATGATCCTTTGTGAACCGTAACATTATTCTGACGTCTCCTGTTTTCCTATAAGGTGTCCAAGCACCATACACGCATCATATCTAGACGAAACTTTAGCTTCATTTATTTACAACGAAACGTAACGCTCTGTGAAAGAGCCTTCGATACCAACCAGAGGCTGATGTGGACACGGCAATGACGAAGAAGAATTCCTATACCTGCTGGGCATCGAATCCCGGTCGTCCATCCTACACCTAATTATAGTGCTACAACGGCTCACTCATCTTTCATGGGGGTCTTTATGAACATGGAGTTACTTCATATTCGTACATTCGGTGCTTTGTAAACAATAAAGAATTTACACTGGAATGTTGGTAGGATTGTGCGGCTTACAGTAAACAGATGGCCGTGTGTGGCACTAATGTTAGGGGACAGACTGCTCAGCTATTGGAAAGTAGAAGGAAGAAGATTTGAACGCTGGAATGGGATGAAGAATCTCCAAGGTAAACCAGAACTAAGGTGGTGAGCCGACCGCCCGGTATTGGGTTGAATTTGAAGGTCAAGCATCATAAAAGATAATCGGCTTTCTTGCAGGAAAAGTCTTGTACGGTACCGAAAATTTTTGAGCAACAGCTCGGGTTAATACATTTTCAGTCCTAATATAATATCTGGCCACCCTATTGCTAAAGGGAGAAAGTAACAGGAGGGCGAGTAAACAGCGTAATGAGGAGCTTCATAATTTGTTTTCTTCACCAAATATTAGCATGATAATCAGATGACAGGATGAGGTGGACGGATGGGAAAAATGAGAAATCCACACATTTTAATCGAAAACCTGAATGGAAGAGATGACTTAAAGATATGCAGATTTCTGTCTCCTGGGTTGTTGCGCTGTGTAGTGTGGTGGATGTTTACCAACTTTTCAGAGGTCATACTGCCTCCATCATCAGGGCGATGAAGGAGGCAGTAAAGACCTAAACAGCTCTCTCGTAGCAGAAGCATGATCCGTTTTAGACTCATTGCATTTTCTCACCTCCTTCTAACTCTCTCATTGCTCTATTTCAAATAAATTTGAAAACAAAAATTCCACATGCCTTTGCCTCTCGCTTCATATCAATCCCAGATGCATTTTCATTTATTGTAACCAATATTAGGTCACCTGTAGGTCTACAAGTCACGAACTACCTCGGTTTGTGACATTCTAAATTTCCGCAAAGACCAGCTAGTTTTCTGCATACGGCTTGTGTGTGATGTTTGAGGTGGTTATCCATACAAGAACTGACCATAACTAATGCTGTTCCTGCTTTTTTAGGTTTTTGCTAATTTTACTTTGTCCATCTAGTGTGCTGATGAAGGACGTCTGTGATTTCTTTGAATAGCACCGGTAATTTTTACATAGACACGGCAGAGAATCTTGTAAGAAATGCATAGTAAACAGAATTCGCTGTTCATAAATCTGTACTTAGCAATGTTAAGAATCGTCTGCAACAAATCACTGCACGCGCGTTTATAAGATTGTAATTAAATATGTCATGTGCCAGTGATATTTCATTCCTTCGCTATTACTTCTACAACTAGGCAATATAAAGTGCATTTGTAGTAAATGATATTCCTTTCCAAGAAATGCACAGATTGTATTTAACTTAACTATTTATAGCATGTACCGTGTCAGATATTTACGACAGATTCACGAGAAACGAGAGTGGAAAGATCCATTGGAGAACGCATATTTTCTATATTTTTAAAATAATTTATGGTCGTTTGTTGCAGATTCAAAACCACTGTTATGAAGTTAATCACACTATTAGGTTATATGTATCATAACATTCAAAGTCTAGTAGTACATTCTTAAACTTCACAAAAACCAAAGCTGGCTGTTTTCTGGATTGTAACGCCGTGTATTCTATAGATTTTTACACATCGCCCTGATGATACAGGTTGGGAGTACCTCCGAAACGTTGCTTAAAGTCTACTCTCGAGTCTCAGACTCGCCGTCATGAGAACCTACTTTATTCAAAACCGTTTCTCACAAAAGGCTCGGGACGTAACAAGGTTTATATTTGATGGAATGTGCTACTCCTTTATTTTACGACAAACTGTTTATGAGAGCGTCGATGAATTTCGACCTGAACTTCAGGTTAAGGTAGGAGTTATATTGAACCACCATGGACAAAAATTAAATTCTCCCTCATAGATCGCCAATACGACATTGCACTAAAATAAAATAGTTTCAGAGATGAAATATGCAAATGGCTGAGATCGATTCCAGCATTACGCATCCATTTTATGTTAGTTTTGTAAGTAATGCATATTAATTTGTGTAAATAAATATAGTGTTTCAAAGAGTTACAACAGTAAATTTATAAATGAATATAAACACTACTGAGTCACGTAAATACGAACAGAACGCATTTTGAAAATTTAGAATGAACCTAACCACTCGTCTAGTAGTAGTATGAAGACCAATCATCTTGCAGCTGTGTGCGTATGTTGCATACGTCTTTGGTCGTTTTATGACATTTAAGTCACTGGGTTGAGGACATTTCTTCAGTCCCCGGTGAAGAAGCAACGCTGAGCGTTAAACATATTTAGTACAAAAAAAATAATACTGATTCATTTCATAAAAATCCTAACATTTTACTAATGAAATAGATATAAATAATGTTGCTTTTGTGCCTGATCACCACGGCACGAGACGTCTTGTGGACATAGAGAATAAAGTTCCACTCATTATAGACATCAGCACTAGGGAGGTAAGATGTAAGTTCTTAAGTTCGGGCTCTTAATTCCGATTCTCGTTGTGTACGAGATGTGTGCGCTCCAGAACAGTCTGGATACATAACGAGCGCTGATCGACCAGTCCTCTGACTGAGGTATCCGGCTCAATTGCTTTAAAATTAGTCATGTTACAATCTGTGGAAAACTTGTACATTCTTAACTGAACCTTGAATGAAGGTGAACTTGGTCTCCTAGGTTGTGGAAACTGAACTGAGTAATTTTACTAACTGAATTATGATAATTAAATTTCATGAGTATAGACGTGGGGACATTTTGTATGTGACCACTGTATCTGAAGCAACCGCCTTTATGCGTTACCTGCACATAGTATGTAACATGAACACGTAATAGGAAAGCCGTGTTCATATGTTTTATCGCCGAAACTACTTGATATTTGGAACTGGAAGTGTAATGTCAAATTTAGGTAGTAGGTTGTCGGTATTTGTCGTACCAAACAGTTCTTTCTCTGTATTCAGGATGGTGACTTCTGGGTGATTTGACTCTAGTCAAACATTCACACAGCAACCCGAAGTACTAATTCTGCAAGTTATTCATTAACACAAGTTCGCTAAACTAAGTTATCTGCTAAGTGTTTTTTTGAAATTGGGCACTGCAGTTTTCGACAAGTCCTGTGGGACAAAACACAATATATCACGTAACAGACAGCTTCATAATTAATAGGTACTGTTTACTGAAATATATTGTATAAAGTGAGTAGGTTATATGGTGTATAATGGCAGGATAACTTGAATGATTATTTTTAAGGTAGTATTCCAGAATTTACGTGTAGGAGCTCACAGAAACCACGAATATTTCAGTCAGGATATTCGGAGAGTCAGATCCAGCGAAGAGTGCAGTTAAGGTAATAAATAAAGTAGATTGAGATGGAAAGTAGTCACTTTCAGCTTCTAAAAGAGGACGCTGTTCCATGGAATAACCGGGTTTGTTGCTTGATTAGGTTTTAGGTTCGTTAATATGTCTGAACAAACGATAACGACAATATCGTGCTGAATTTTAAAGGCATTGATACAGAATATTTCATGGACTATTTCCACAGAGCAGATCTGCTTAGGGGAAGAACGGATTAAGGACGATTGACAAACTGCTTATGTCATAAAGGACAGGTGGCAACTGGCAGTAATACTGAAGTCTATGTAATATAAAATTCTATTTCGTTTCGTTAGTTCATTGGCCTGTACAAATAAGTAACTCTGTGTGAGCTCAACGATAACTAAATGTACTAAATATTTCAAAATTAAATAATATGTATTTTTGTGAACAATTCGTTCTGTTCTTAGAAGGTTACCGAAATCTCTGTGGTGCTTGCTGCCTCCATGATCATGGCGAACATTGCCCTGATGATGGAGGCAGTATACACTTCGAAAACGTCAGTAAACATCTACCAAAGTACATGGTACAGCATCCCAGAAGACAGTCATAATCGTACTCGCCGTCGTGAGAACATGAAATCTGGGCTATTACTGTACTATTTTACGCAAATATATCTCATGTGTTGTCAGTCAATCTTTTCAAATAAAAATATCACCTTTTGTGACGTATCTTATAGTGTTCAAATTAGGAATTATATTTTTTTCTTCAGAAGTTGGACCGCCTTTACCCTTGCTTATCGACTGTTGAGCCGAAAGATTGTATGGTCAATTTAGTGTATTTCAAGGTACTTTTTAACCCTTTACAGCCCAGTTGTGAACCACGGGATGTCTCAAAAAGGATGTATACAGATTATAATACGGAATATTAACCTTGTCAGTCAGATGCTCACCGTTCTCAACTGTACCACGACGTTAACGCTAGTCATTTTGAACAATTACACTAGATTACATAATTCACTGAGTGCCTGTGCTGACGTATGTAATTGTTTAATTTATTACTATGTCATTATTTATTCTTTGAATGGTATCTTTTTGCAATGCACCACACGATTTTACAGCCAGTAACTCCACATCGTACCCACAGTGTGTATTTATGTTTTTTTATGATTCTAATAATAAATGGCGATTATATTCCTAACTAGCATTAATTAATTGATCTCTTTATTGGAAATGCGTTGTATTTTGTTTGCGGTATGGGCTAAATGTTAAGATGCCATTTAAATGAACTTGATGCTTCAAACGGGTAAATTATTAGTAATTCAAAAATATGTTTAAATTAACAATACGATTGATATAGTAGTATTGCCAACCTGAATAATGAAATATACCGCCATATTGAATAACAGTCTGCTCAAGTAAAACAAAGTGGGGCTCGAGGTATATCTGCGTGGATTCTTAATCTAACCAATATATGGGGTGAGGGTTAGCTTCATGCCCCAGCCGCTTTAGCCCCGGGGAAAGAATCACTTAGCCACCGAATAGGAGGCCTGTTGGTGCCTAGAGCTGGACTGGACGTTGTGGCGAAGCGAAAAATCCTGCCCTACTGGGAATCGAACCGAACCGCGTCGAGACCAGCTCCGGAGCCCATCCAGGCTTATATCCAATGGGTACCGGGGGCTCTTTCCCCAGGGGTAAAGCGGATGGGGCGTGACGCTGAAATCAAGAATGAAAGGAGCTATACCTCCAATCCTCACACGTCTTCATGGCTTTGTGCTTACCACCTTTTCACTTAACCGGGAATCAAACCCCACCACCCAGCACGTGGCTTGTTATATTTGCTGTGTTATCTGTGTTCTTAAGTAGAACAGGTAATGTTAATTACGTTTTTGGCAATTCACGAACGAAAACTGAAACGCTTTAAATAAATGTGTAACGACTGACTCACCTTGCAGTTTCTTTTCTGTCTCCCAAAACTTTTGTAATTCGGTGAAGTACTTGTCCAATATGAACACTTTGGAGAGGCCGAGGGCTGCCACCTCTTCGGTGTTCTTCTGTTGTTTTTTTGTTTTGATGAAGTATTTCCTGCTTATTGAAATAACACGGCGGTTAAAATTTGTTTCCGCAGATTTTCGGACCATCACATTAACACACTTTTACTTTAATTAAAGTTTCTTTTGTCGAAATTGTAAACCGTGAATATTAACTCTTGTTTTAAATGTTTACGACACTAATTTGTCTCCTTTAGACGTCAGTACCATCATATATATTCGTTTAGAGGTATTGTAACTATGCTAGTTTCGTTTCTGTACTTGATAGTCTTATGTTTCTTTCATCAAAGACTTTATTTAGCATCTACTTTTAGTAACACTTAACAGCACAAACTGATTATGATTCTGTTCAGGTAAACTGATATATTTTCCTAGCACAGTGCACGTGGATATTTTCCGTGATGTGTTGAATACATATTACTAATTAACTTCATATGCACATTAATAACGACGCAGTTTATTTCTGTTCTATGTTCAGCGTGTCTTGCCCACCCTTTCTTCAATTTTCTTGCATATTAGTAGCACAGTATTGAATATAAAATAATTCGTTTAAAAATATTTATTGACACAAATTGTACTGTCACTTTTCTGGTGTAATTATTTCACACGTTTCTGTTCAGAAAACCATTTCATATGCCGAATTTAGTTTTTTTAAGTTGTTCAAGCACGAAGAAGAGTTTATTGAGTTGAGATGGCAGGAAACAAGTACCTCAGTTCGTCGTCTTCTGTTTCTCAACTGCGGTATCACTGTTCTTATGCTGGCGGGACAGAACTGCGATACAACTGAAGATTTCGGTTTCCGGTGTTGGCGTAAACTCAGTCTCTTCCAGTTCGTCCATGCTCGTTCCGACACGTTGCTGACTTTCTGACGTCCACTGCTGCTCCTTCGCAAGTCCTTCCCAGTAACGAAGCAAACTGGTTGGTTAGAATAGGATGCAGTTTCAATACCTGGCCGCAAGCATTGGCGCTACAGTCTGACTTGCCGCGGAAAATCTTTCCATTTCTTTTTCTTTTTAAGCGTCTCCTCTGATTGGTTGGTTGTATACAACTACCCGTATAGTCATTGTTGGTCACCATCGCCGTCATACCTACACTAGAACAGGTTCTTCTGTTCTGTTCTCTTCTGTCTTGTTTCGCTTTTTCTTTCTTTTGGTTATGTTGCCTCCTCCCATTTTTCAGGCAGGTCCTTTTCTTAATCTTCTTTCTCTTTCTACTACCTTCTTTTTAACCCCCCCCCGCCCCCCGGGGGGCATACCAACAGGTGTCAGGGGTGAACATTGGATCTAGGTTCTTCGTGGTAAATTAAAAGTTCTGAGGAATTTTAAGCAGTTTGAGATGCCGATCGTGGTCTTTTGTGGCTATCCAGGTAGTTACCAATTTTTCGGAGGTACTTCCCCACTGAGGAAATAGGCCAAGGAGTGAAGCTAACAATACACTTCCATCTAGTGCCGAGGTTAAAAATACGTGGCGCTACACGGGTCTCTCTCCATGGCGTAGTGCTTAGTTAACCGTACGCATTCTTAGGTAACTTCAATACTATACGGTCAGCAACACCGATCCAGCTGTTTTATTGTAGGGAAGACTGGGTGGGCCCAAAAGCTGGTCTGGATGTAGTGTCGAAGAAAAAATTCTGCCCCTGCCGGAAACAGAATTTCGCTCGCTTAGTCAGTAACCGTCACGACTAAGTTATTGCTCTCATTTTGCGACAGACCAGTAGCAGAGGACACATTTTGGGTCCTCTGACTCAGTCAAGCACTGGCAGGACTAAGCAATAAGAATTTATTCATTCTCCACCAAGTAATTAACTAACACCTTGGAGAAGAGTCATGCATGAGAAGCTGATAGTTAATCAAGAAATATTCTTGTGGAAGGCAGAGTTATTGTCATATGCTGTTCCTTTAAGACGCATTTTAAAATTATCCTCCCAGCTAAAGTCGTGTCCTCCAGAAAGATCTATTCACCTCAGAAGAAAACTGTCTTATGGGTTGTAGAGCCCTGTAGTCTGGCAGAAGTTTACCGACGTTTCTCTTCACCTCAGGTTTTCCGTATGAAATTTTGTATGAATTTCACATCTTTCTCATACGTTTTATTCACCTCGCCCACTTTACAGCGCCAGGCACAACTCATTGTAAGAAAAAAAAATTATTCTTGCCTCTCAGAAAACATAGGCCTACCACATCAGATTCATACAGATAATTCGGTTAGGTTTAATTATGTTTATAGAAACAGTACTTGTAGGTCTGTAGCTTATTCTGAGAACAAAACTAAAAACAGAATTTTGAAGCACGCGATAATAACTGCATTTAGCAAAATCATATAGAAGCTAATAGTCGCTTATCAAGTTAATAAATATCCCTCTTTTTATGGAACCCGATAGTTCAATACCATATTCACGGAAGCTTGTTGATTAGAATCTGTCTTGGGCCAGTTTAATCTGGTCCACGTCTCAACCCAGAATTTCTTTATTTTAATTTTAATGTTATTATTCTGCCATGCGTGCTCAGGGATCCTTCGCTTGAGATTTGTGACTAACAATATTAGATGAAGTGTAAGAATGAATGAAGGTCCTCACCGTGTGTTCATCTGTCGTGATCTTTCGCCTCTGATAGTTTCAAATATTTTCCTACCACTTTGAATTCTAACACACAAAAAACCGTTCATTCCTTGGAGAAAGAGACGAAATTTAACGCCCACACCAAACTAAAAGTGAACTTATAGTTTATTATCTGGTATTTACAGTTTTAGGTGGGAGAAGAGAATGCAAAATATCGTGAATAGGCAGTAGCTGACGTAGCGAGTATTTCCTGAACATAATTTTAATTTGCTGTGATTCCTCTTCCCGTGAAGCAGTAGTAAAAC